CTGCAGTTGAAGCTGGTGGTGAGGAAGGGAAACTCGACTGAAAATGTTTTCATGGGTGAGTCTCTATTTTAAATCAGTTGGACTGATTTCTTCAACAATAAAATTCAAATTTATTTGGATTTTATGTGAGAGATCATCAACAAAGTTGGTTTATCACATAAAATCCCAATAAAATAAATAAAAATTTCAAATGATAAAGTGATAAAAAATGAAACATTTCTCTTTAATCTCCAAAGTGCTTCATAATCAATTTTTTCACTTGATTTCTTTTGTAAAATTAGAAGCAACTTTTTCACCATTTTTCTGACCAACATTTATATTTTTCACCTAAATCTGTCTCCTTTTGTTGTTTCCTCCAGAACTGACACTTCCTCAGTTTTACAACTTCCTGCATGAGATGGAGAGAGCAAAGGCCAGCATGGAGTGCTTTGCTTGAATTTAAGTGTGTGTGTGCGTGTTTGAATAACTGCCAAACGTTTGTACTAAATCTGATAATAAATACAATTAAAAATGAATCTGTTTTGTCAGATTGAAGATTATTGCTCAGAACCTTTTGAATTAATGAACAAAATTATACTTTAAAAATTATTATATTTTACTTATTTAAACAATGGCAATTCGCAACAAATGTCTCAAAGCACTTTACAAACAAAATGAATTCAATCACACATTGATTCTGATTGATCCAACTTATCAAACAGTAAATTAAGTTAAATTAATTATTGAACTTGAGCCTCGTCTGAGAACTACACAGTAGCTGTGTTTCTGTAAAAAAAAAATTTATTTTGCTAATGACAAAAAACACTATTCACAATTGCGGTATTTGTATGAAATAAAAAACGCAATTAAAATTACACGTGAATAAGTTTGTTTGCGACAAGTTATTAAATATCTGCCGCGTCACCATCCAACTACTTCCTGTTGTCTTCTTCTTCGTGGTTTACGCATATGGCAACTTCCGGGTTTTTGATCGTCTGACGCGAAAACGTGTTTCCATTGCTGTTTTGTGAAATAAAACAGTTTCGATACAAAAAGCCCAACTCATCCAGAACTTATCGAAAATCAAGTTTTTTATATATATATAACTGTCTGGTTTCTATTAAGCAAATGTATTTAAACTAAACGCTGGTAGAAGCTAGTCCGTAGCAAGCAGCTAGCTAGCACCTGCGTTTACCTAGCAGCTTGTACCTTTATGAGATGGAGGTAGTTGGGTAGTACATACCTAGCAACCACCAGAAACTGGCGTTTTGGCTGTATCGAAATTGTTTCTTTCTTTTTTCGCAAAACTGCAAAGGAAACACTTTCTCGCAACTCACGAAGACAACAGGATAGTTGAATTATGGCGCAACATGTTTTTTAATAACTTGACTGATTTTAATTGCGTTTACAATTCAATTCAAATACCGCGAAATTATGGTTTGTTTGTTTTTTCCGACAGCGGAATATAAACGAAGATTTGCGTACATTTGTAAAGGTTCTGCCTCCGTTTTTCTTTAAATTGTGACTAAAACACTTCAGGAAAACCTTTGGAAATGTTGCAAACTTTCCACCTGCAGCTAACTGTAGCATAAACTGTGGGTCAAACAGCTTAAAATGAAAACAATGGTTCCATTTCTCAAAGAAGCGCCAGCGTATAGGTGAGTCCTGTGAGTTTCTTCCTTTTGTCTTTAGTTCCTCTTTGTGAGTTTTTTTCCGTTGGCTTTCCTGTCCCGATGCGGCTGGTTAGACCAGCGGGACAAAGTCCGACCGCAGACTTCCTCCTGCTGGATGTAGACATGTTTCCTCCCCGACTTATTTGCGCCGTTCAGCCATAAAACCCGCTATCTTGGCCGCACACATGAGGAAGCGTACAGTTCGAGCCAAGCGGCAGATTCCGTTTATTTAACCTCTATTTTCCTTAATTTGGAGTAAAAAAAAACCCCCACCAAATTCCAGCCAAAGTTTATCACTTTTGTTTGTTTTGTTGATTGGTAGACAAACCTGAATCGAAGTAAATAAATTAAAGATGAGAGAAAGAAGGATAAAACACATAAAACAAAACGCAACATTCTACCACAAATTAGAATAACATCACATGCTGTTTTGGTGCTGCTGAAAAGGAAAAAAATAAGAAAGGATGGTTGAAGGCTGGAAATGAAGGAAGAGAAGAAAAGGAGGAAGAAAGTAATGGAAGAAGGAAAGAAAAAAATGAAAGGATGATGGAAGAAAGGCCAGAGTTTTTATTTCTTCTGTATGAATTTGTTTGAAAAGTCAAATCAAGACTGAAGATTGTTTTTAATTTCCAACATGGAGGAAATAAAAACTTTTCATCATCATTCCAACATTCTTCCTGTTGAACCAAAACTTTTTACATCAGAATGGAGCCGCAGGCCGGAAACTGTTTTCTGAAGAACTTCCGGCTAATTCTGCTGATCCGACCAGAACCAGAACAAACCACGCAGCGCCTGTTTGTGGCCACGAGAGGGCGCCACTGACTAAAGGTTCTGAGATCAGAGCGGAAACTGCAGCTTGGTGAAACATTTAACTCAGTTGATGCGTTTCATGCTGGTTATTTGTAAAGATACACTGTTAAAAATTATCAGCAATAATTATGATTATTTAGAGAAAAAAATGGCGGTTAAAAACTTTCAAAATAAAATTTTCACTATTTATAAATGTCACAGTATAAATATTTAATTTGAAGTTATACATTTTTAGTCAAATTAATACTTATTTTTTGCTAAATATTTAGGTACCAAAGTATTTACCCTGAAACTAAACATGTAACTTTAAACAAAATATTTAATTAGCATTCTAAATGTTTAGTTTACAAAACAAATTTTTGGCTCCAAACTAAATATTTAGCTGATAAGCTAAATATTTAGTTTGGAGCTACATTTATAATTAGCACGCTATGTATTTAGCCCCAAACTAAACTAAGCTAAATATTTTGCTTCATTAGCAAGCTTAATATTTAGCCTACTAGTTTAGACCAAAGTACTTAGATCTAAACTAAACATTCAGAGCTCTAACCTGAACAATTAGCTTGCAAACTAAATATCTAGTTTGTAGCTAAATATTTAGTTTCAGAAATGTTTTAAAACTTTATCCTCATCCAGGCTGGCAGAGTTTGTGTGTTACGTTATTTTTACCCCAGGAAAATCTGGTTAACTGGGAGTTTCTATAGATAATCTGAAGTATCGTTTGGACTTTCAGTGTTGGCTTCAGCTTCTGCAAATAAAGATTAATTTATTTTTAGGTGTTCTTACACACATTCTCCTCGTTAGTGGTGAATGATCAACCGCTCACTGGTTGTTATTAAATCTGTGGAAGAGTTGGTGTTGTTATGTTTGCAGCGGTTTTTATTTTCGTCCCACTGCGCCCGTTTTGTTTTTGTTGTGTGTTTGCAGGTTCGGCGGCTCCGTTCGGGTCCCAGCCAGGAGTCACCAGCAGACCTCTTCACCGACGCCCACACACACTCCCTCCAGCTGACGGGCGCCATGGCAACCAGCAGAGCCATCCGGGTCCTGTGTGTGTGTGAGAGACCAGGTGTGTGTCTCATCGGTGCTTTTTTGTGTTCTCCATCGTTTCCCCTCAGGGACACAGATGAGCATCAAGCTCCACATGCATGAGGCAGATGCACAGCAGATGGTTGATCTGCGTTTACGTTGCTAATGTGCGCAAATCTTCGTCTGTAATCTGCTAATATTGAGCAAAATAAACACAGTTTCCCAATTACTCCGTTTCTGTTAAGTAAGAAATTAAATTAAAGTTACACATGAAAAAGCTTGTTTAGGCCAGGGTTGTCCAAAGCGCGGCTCAGGGGCCATTTGTGGCCTTTGGACTGGTTTTAAGCGGTCAAAAATGATCCAGATTTGTCCCTTTGATGCAGATCAAGACTGTTAATTTATTTACAATGTAAAATGTAAAGTACAACAAAGTTTTTGTCTTTCTACAACTCTGAAATTTCCAAGTTTTTTCTAGAAATTTTTTTAGATTAATTTGAAAATTTCATAGTTTTCCAGCAAATGTTAAACCTTCCAAACTCCTAAAATTGCTTTGTTTTTCTAGAAAATTTCTTAGATCAGTCTCAAATTTATGAGTTGTTTTTTCAAGCTAATATTTGACTTTGTAAAGTCTTGAATTTCCATGTTTTTTCTTGAAAATTTCTGAGAGTAATCTCAAAATATCTGAGTTTTTTCTAGCAAATGTTTGCCTTTTCAAATTTGGACATTTCCTTGATTTTTTTCTAGAAAGTTTCTGAGCTCAATCTCAAAAATGTTACATTTTTTCAAGACAATTTTAAACTTTTCAAACTCAGATATTTCCAATTTTTTTCTCCAAAATTTCTTTCACATTTTCAACTTTAATAACTCATAAATCTCCATGTTTTTTTCTTGAAAATATCTGAGTTTAATTTGTTTTTATCTGTGAGGCCGTTTGTGCCTCAGACAACGGAAAGCAGAAGGTCGTAGTGAAGGAGAAGGTTGGACTGTTTTGAAACTTGCTTTCACTTCCTAAAGTCGAGTTTATTTTAATCCTGCTGATCGAGTTGCTCTTTTCCTGCCGCCTTTCTGTTTCTCCTTTGGGGCGTTCAGACACAAACTTAACGGATCACACTTTGTGGTCGAATGTGTTTCCAAGCATGTTGATCCTGGTCCCTGGTTTTACGATGAAGATAAAACAGAAGAGGGTTTTATTTTGTCAGAAAACGCATTTTTACTTGACTGGTAGTTTTACTGGTCAGGCAAAACACATTTAAAAACGTAACAATCATCCTAATCCTTCTTTGTTCTCTTCATCCTTCTCATTGACCAAAATGACAATAATTCATATAAGCAACAAATAATAAAGATTTTTTTCCCAATCAGTTTCCCTCAATAAGAAACTAATTAAACTTTAATAAAAACTGCAGCTGTGTGTCTGTGTCAGGTGAATTTTTGGTTAAAACGTGTTTTTCATTCTGTGTAGAAAATCCACAAATTTCACTCAAGTAAGAGTAAAATATAATAAAATTACTCAACTAAAAATACTCCTAAAAGTAAACCTTTAATTCTTTAATGCAGAATTAAAGATTAATTGGCTAATAATTATTAGTTGACGATTATTTAAATAGCCGATTAATCGTGTCGGACATGTTTGATGTAAAAAGCAAAACAGGAGGATAAATACTCTGTCCCGAAGTCATGGCCTAAAAACGGTCAATTTAAGTTTGTTTTTATTTTTTCTGGGTTTTTATTTTTTTAGAACCGAGTAAAACACAAAAACCTGTTGCATGTTAAGTTTTAACATCTGCCCACATGTCTGTATGTTTCTTTTTGTCTTGATTATTTCTCTGACATCCACTTCCTGCTACTCAGATCTGTCTGCCGCGTGCGGGTCCCGCCGGACGGTCCGGGTCGGACCCAGTTGGATGTGGACGGTACCTTGATCAGGACCCGCTTCCTGTTCCCACCTCCAGCCCGGCGGAGGGAACAATGAGGCGCAGCGGGACGCTAACAGGTGTCCGCCATCAGCTGGAGGAGGACGGCCGAACCGGACCGAACATGCGGCCCGTTCGGCTCCACTAGCAGAGTCTTCCTCACGGGAGGAAGAGTGGGAGGCGCTGGCTGACATCCCCCACGGGACCGGGCCGAGCGAACAGGTGTGTCCCGGTACCAGCCTCCCGTACCGAGCCGTGGAGTTTCACCGCAGCTGGTGCGTAAATACCAGAGAAGAGGAGGAAGAGGAGGGTCCAAATTGACTAGTCGGAACAAATTCACGGGTTAGATCTTTTTAAAAAATATTATTTTTTTATATACATATTTCTCGGTTTTGGACGGACGTGCATTTTTGTCGGAGAAATTTCCAAAAGTGGGTCATCTGGTCATTTCACTATGACAACGAGAAAATCCGCCGGTGCTGCTGGAGACGTGGATCCCATCTCCACCAGCAGCAGCACCGGTACCAGCAGGCTGCCGACCCAGACCCAGCAGAGCAGCCGGAGTTCCGCCGGAAGCGACCCGGTTCCGGGCGAGGCGCCGGAGATGGTCGGGGAATTCCGGGACTGGTGCCTGAAAACGTACGGGGACTCCGGGAAGACCAAGACCGTGACCCGGCGCAAGTACGACAAAATCCTCCAGACGCTGCTGCAGGAGGGCGAAGGGGACGGCGGCCATCATCACATCAACGCCAAGTTCAAATTCTGGGTCAGGTCCAAGGGCTTCCAGGTGGGCCGAACCGGGCCGGACGGACCGGTGCTGTACGTCCCCATTAAGGCAACGGTTAGTTCCCCTTTCTGTTTCTTTGTGTGTGTCCCATTTCAGGTGTGTGTGTGTTTTCACATGATGTGGATGAACGGACTGGTTGCCATGGTAGCGGCAAACACCTGTCTCATTAGGGTCCAATTGGACCCGTCTTTGTTTGTTTGTTTTACAGTTTGGTAGTAATTAGTTACATTTACTCTATTATTTTTGCTTGAGTAACTTCTTTTAAATGTACTTTTAGGAGTATTTGTACTACTTTTACTTGAGTATTTCTGCTCTTACTGGAGTAAAATGTCTGGATTTTCTACCCACTGAATGAAACACAAACATGTTTTAACCAAACATTCACCAGATACAGAATCACTCCTGCAGTTTCCGTTAAAGTTTCTGAACTTTCTTACTGAAAGAAGATGATTTGGAAAAATGGTCTTTTGCCTGATTTTTTTTTTGTTACTTATATGAATTATTGTCATTGTAGCTGGTAGCTAGCAGCTACATTTCTGCATATAATTGCGCAATTTGACATGTCGAAGCTAGCTAGTAGCTGTTAGCTAGTAGCTGCGTTTCTATTGAACGTATAATTGCGCAATTTTGCATTTTGAAGCTAGCTGTCAGCTAGTAGCTGTCAGCCAGCTAGTAGCTGCTAGCTATCAGCTAGCAGCTGCGTTTGCATTGACCATATAAAAGCTCAATCTGACATTTCGAAGCTAGCTTGAAATAATGCCGCCACCTTGTGGCAGCAGTGAGACATGACAGCCTGTTGAAATGGAAAAACAACATTCAAGTTCAAACAAATCAGTTTTAATTAAGCTATTAAAGTGAATTTTAATGGCTAACAGGAGAGGAAGGTTAAAGAAAACAATAATTTGGAGGATTTTATAACCAACCGTGTTTCTTTTGTTCTCTTCCTCTGAGTGAGAGTCAAACTCCGCTGCTTCTTCCAGCTGTATTTATGTTTCAAATCATCACTGTGTTTATTCTGTTTTGCTTCTTTATGTGTCACACTGAGAGGGATGTGACCTTCCTGCAGCAACTGTCTATCAGGCAGCCTGTGTGTTTACACTCCAGCGAAGTGTGTGTCTGTCTGCACGACTGGGTGTGAGACACGATGATCCATTTATTACTCAGCTGAGACGATGAAAATGCATCCAGAGACGTAAAACGATGAACAGGCTCTGGACTGAATCGGGAATAAAACCAAAAACTGAGGAAAATTTACACCTAATCAGAGTTAAACAGTGAGAAAAGGTTAAGAGACAAACAGCTGCTAACTGTTTTGTTTTTAATAGTCACCTTATAAACGTCAAGTCATTCTAACTAGTGGTTGGTTGTCTTTATTTCAGACTATAATTAACTAATTGCATTTTGATCAAACTATATATCGACAAAACAAGCTAAATTTTTAATTCAAAACCCATTGATGTTGCTAAATTATTGAATAATATACATGAGCTTAACAGCAAACATATTAATTGATTTGAATCTGTTATTTGGGCAGTTCTAAAAGTGCGTTTTGGCAGTGCAGTCCGGAGTAGTCTGGCTGCAGTTTGTAACTT